AATCACTTAATAATTATCAAATCACAAAAATAATTAAAAGCCACAAACTCTAACTCTTATAAACACACCTTAGAATCAGACCAAATTATGCCTATAGGGTAGCAAACGTAGACAAAAACCTAGGACCATACACATACCCTAGGTTAGTTTAGTCTAAAAGCTCTAGGTTAGTTTATTTTGTTCCTCCCATAAATTAGAATTAATGATTATGACATATAAAATAAGTTGAGCTACCCTCGAAGACTATGAGTATCCTAGAATGAAGTAGCCCATGTTATGGACAAAGATACTCAAAAGCAATTTATAGCAAGAATGACTCCCTTAAGTCATTGTTATGGAGATAAGAGAAAACTCGGGTTATTCTAGTGCTTAATAGTCTGAGGACACAAAGGTACCCAGGATGACGGAAAGCCATTGACTTCTTGATTGGGTTTGTTATTCCCAAATTTAGGTTAGGCCACCTATAGCTTTGTTTAGAGATAATTAGGTTAGGGCTTTGCCTCAATCTAGAGATCTTTTACTCTTTACTACCCTATATACCAGGATATTATTTAAATCAATTCATCTTAAAAAAATTAAATTTAACAAAATCAAACTAAATTCAAAACCCAATCCAATCCAATTTAATCAATTTTTACTCAATTCAAATTCCAAATCCAATCTAATTTCAATCTTAATTCAACCTATTCCTTTTATAACTATCTTCAATCAAACCCAATCTAAACTCTACTATAATCAAATTCAAACTTATTTAAATTCTAAATCCAAATTAATTAAATCCAAATTATTTCTCAAAACTAATCTTTTGATTCAAGCTCTATATCATCACTTCAACTGTCAGTTGTTGGGCTCAACCCTAAGGGTCAAAATTTTTAAAGTTCAATTTAAGTCAACCTATGACCAATCTTGTTCTTTTTATTAAAGTCTTTGAATCCTATTATCTTATAAATATTCATTAATAAAAAGGAAAAATATAAAGCATACCTTATTCAAGAGTTTTCTCAAGAGCAATTCTTGAGATGTAATTAAATATGAAGGAGCTCCCTCATAGGGATACGAGACTCCATAATTAAAATAAATATTATCTTACACCTATAAGGTAAGAGGAGAATCATGGTTCCATAGATTCATAAATCCAAAAGGTTTTCCATCTTTGAATGATTAGATCCAATCCACAGTAATATTTTTGTCTTTTGAACGATATATTATTCTTTGAATGTTGTAAATGATCATTTAGATAGAAATATTTCAAGGTATTTGGTGGGGACCAATATAAAAATCCCACCAACCACCTCTATGGTAAAGGGCCAAAATAAGACCCCAGCCTCAAAGGTGCATGACAATCACTAAATTTTCTATCATTCATTTACTTTTTCCTCGACTCCTATCACCCATAGTCTTGGGCTAGATGAAAACGTTGGGTAAACATCTCGATCAACCTTGAAGCTGAAATGGTATGAAAAGAGCTCAATCGACCATAAAGCTAGAGGTAGATGACAAAGGTCATGATTATAAAAATTGAGTATGGGTTAACCTATGCGGGGATGATACCATAACTGTTAAGGTTAGACCTCATATCACTGTAAAATAGTAGCCTCAGTCCATATTTAAACCAGTCAACATACACTTTAAGCTATCACTATAGTTTCCTGCATATTTCTTCCCCTTTTTAGTTGCTCAGAACGAGATATCTAGCCCACAGACAATTGGATTAAATAATCCCACTGCTTGTCTTTTTGAAAGAATCAACGACACACTGACAAGTTCATGTCAAAGCCTCTGATTAATACCTAGGATCCTTGACACGATAGATAAAGGAAGAAGAAAGCCACACAAAGGAGAAAAGAAGAAGCATGGGGACTTCAATGCCAATTTCATAAACCTTATAACACGCAGTGGAAGCTGAAATAATGCAAGGGCAATTTAGTATTTTTAATCACATCAAAGTGTAGAAAAAAAGGGTGAAATCAAACACATATATTGATGAATCATAAAGCACATATAAAAACAGACATAGTTTAATAAAACAATCACTTAGCATAAAGGGAGATTCATTAATTTATAATTAATCAATCAGAAAGAAAAGGTTATACTGAAGTATCAATTGTTTCCTTAGTCGGGATAAATTCCAATTGAGACAACCACCAGAACATCAACTCACACCATATCCTAACTTTGTCTACCCTATTCATTTTAGAGTACAACCGAGAGATCAAGACTTCCTTATGAAGGGTAGCTAGCTCAACCTTGAGAGCTCACAAACCCAAACTGTGGCTAACTTAACCTCTGGCCAACCTAATTGCATGTCACGATGACAACCACTTTTCATGAACTGATGAAGTCTCAATTCTATAGAGACAACGATCAACAGAGTCAAATGGCTCAAGAATGTTGGATTCCCCCACTAGATTATCCTCAGAGATCATTGACTCATTTCCAAGTAGTACCCCCCAGAAGGCTTATACCCCTCAGTGATCCCAGATCCATCACCACACCAATCTCTGGAACTCTTGCTCTACGAGAGGCATGGTCTTCGTCGCCTCACCATAAGCAGGGTCCATCATTCAATCTAAATCAAAAGTCGTAAAGGAAAAATTTTCTCCCCCAACTTTCTTGCTTTATTGATGGAGGGCGAGAAACTAGCTGAGAAGTATCTAAAACGAAAAAGGTCTACAGCAACCCTTTGTTCATCTGTCAATTGCTCCTCAAGAGTTAGCAGCTCAAAGGCAGGCTCAAGACTTCTCTCTCACCTCAGCTTAATGGGAAGTGGGGAATAGATTGTTTGATCCATAAGATTTTCATCCTGGAGGCTCTTCCCATTGTGTGGTGTTTCTTCACGAAGAAGCCCCCTCAACCGTTAAAGAGCCCTCAGTAGAGCGACCATTGTTTGAATTTAAGGAACCCACCTCAACCAAGGCATCAAAGGCCCTCAACATCGGTGCAATATGCATTCCAATCCAATTGATTTTTGAAACAAATTTTTCCATCTTTTTCTTTTCTTGAAAAATCATCATGCAGGCATCCTCGGTAAAGGATTTTGGATGTTCTCTACCCTCCATAATTGATATCACTGATGAGATTACATGAAAAGAGGGTGGTAGATCAGAAGGGGTTCATTGGCACAGCGAGGGAGGAGGGGGAGATGGACTGAAGAAGAAGAAGAAGAAGGGCACGTAAGTAAAAATGCACTCGAGAAAGATTCAAAATGCGAGACAAGACAATGTTTTCAGAGTAAAAATGCTCCCCGCCTCTTAAGGATTTATTAACTGCATTTCCCTCTAATCTCCCAAAACACAGAGCCAAACGACAAGGCAATGTTTTCAAAATGCCGCTCGCACTTATAAGCTACCCCAAATAGCCCCTAAACCTCTCCATTTCTAGTCACGTGATACTTCGTTTGAAGATAATATTAAGGGTCTAGTTGGAGTAGTTGCAGCTTATACGACATATGCTGATAAGCAGCTAATCTTGATAAGCTGCTGATCGTGATAAGTTGTCTTTGGTTTGTGTGTTTGAAAAACAAATGATTTGCAGATGTTTCTATACAAATGACCATTCAACCTCTGATCTGAACAAGTTGTATAGTTGTTTTGTTTATGAGTTTGGAAAACAGTTGAATTGCAGTTGTTTCTGGATAAATGATCATTCTGCTATTGTGCAGTTGTTCTATTTGCAACATGATTGTTATGACTATATATTTAATAGTTTAGAAACAATCAAGTTCAAACTCAAGCCGAACATGATAATGTTATGACAAACAAAACAAGTACAAATGAAGTTCAAAAATTAAAAAAAATTAAAAAAGTTAAGCTTAAAAAATATGTGAAAGCTCGGCACAAGCTCAAGTCGAACATGAACAACTTATTGGTGTACCAAACAAAATTTAAACTATGATATTCTCAGCTTGATTCTACTTGATTACAACCCTACTCCAAATCACCATCATTGCACTCATTTATCATTAACCATAAATGGAACAAGATGTGATCAATCCTTAAACCTTGTTTATATTAGTTTTTGCATGAAAATAAAAAAGTGTTCAATTAGTGTAAATTTAATAGTAATAAAAATCACGAACTTGTTTTAAAATTTTAGATTCTCTTGTCCTTATCGCAGTTGTCACTATTTAGTAGCAAGAGAATCAAAGAACTTTAATCTATACATCAAAATTGTGGCAGCACTGATCTCAGAGCTAATGGAAGAAGTGATGTGGTCGTATGAGGGTCGCCAAATCGAGAGTGCATGCCCTGCCGGCCTATCCCTGCAAAGCGAGGGGACAACACTTTCAAGCCTGAAAAATACATATCATCTCCCAGAGAGACTACATGATCAGATCCATACGAATAAATCTAGCGCCCTCTAAGTCGGACGGGTGAAACAGGCAGTCCAGCTCCAAAATAGTTGATACCATCCTTTAGCGAGTGGTTATCAGGCAAGATGGCAACCTAGTCAGGGGGCCGCCTGGCCTAGTGGCTGCCCAGTCTGGGGTTGCACGGTTTGGTAGCCGCCAAACCTAATGTCTGCCCGACCTGATAACTGACTGTCTTAATAGCCACCCGTTTTGATGCTCACCTGTCTTAGCAGCAACCCGACCTGATGGTCGCCGGGTCTAAGGGATATCCAATCCCTCATGCCCGAACATCTATGGGTGTAACAGATCATATTTATGTAAAGACTGAAATATTTCCGTCGTACCAACATACTCTAGGGTTACATCATGTAATTGCATAATGAATCATTCCTATAAAAAAGATATTCATTTCATTAATAAAAGTTATACAAATTTACAGTTCATTACAGAGTTATTGTTTTCTTTTTATCACTTTCTCATTCTTCGGCGCTCTATTTCTTAGGCATACTAGGCATATATATTTGAATCCAATAATATGCAAATAAAACAAATAAGTGTGAGGCATACAAAGATGAAAATAAATTATATATATTTGCACGCATGTGCACGTGAAAAATAAAAAAAAAATGCTGAAATCCTTCATCCGCGTAATGTACCCATATATGTGTGGTTCAGTTCATCGGAATCTTTCCATCTACGTCAGCAGTGTGCCAAGATGCTGAGCCTAAAAACCTTAGCTTACCTTCATCCGTTCCGCAGATCCCCTACCAGGTCCCCTCGACCTCGCCCGAGCTTCCCCGTTTCTCGCATCTCCTTCTCTTCCTCGAACACCACCATGCCTCTCATCCCCATCGTCGACCACATCGTCCTCTTTAAGGTCCGGGACTCCACCGATCCCTCGAAGATCGAAACAATGATAACCAATCTCCGCTCCCTCATCTCACTCGACCTCGCCACATTTCTCACCGCCGGCCCAATCCTCCGATCCCGCTCCGCCGCCGCCGAAGACTTCGGCTTTACCCATCTCCTCTACAGCCGATATCGCACAAAGGCCGATCTCGCTGCCTACAGCGGCCATCCGTCACATCTGACCGTCGTTAAGGAGAATGTATTCCCAATATGCGATGATATCATGGCCGTCGATTGGGCCGCAGAAGTCGATGTTGACGTTGCTCCCTCGCCGGGATCTCTGGTGCGGCTCACGCTTGCTAAGCCGCAGGAAGGGATAGCGGGGGTGGAGGTTGTTAGATCAATCGACGGGGTTAGGGCTTTTGTACCTGATTCGGTGCGGGTGAGCTATGGTGAGAATATTTCGCCAGAAAGAGCGAAAGGGTACGAGGTAGGGTTTATTTCGGTGTTTTCTGGGGAGGATGAGGCGGATGCGATTGAAGGGAAGGAGGAAGTGGAGAAGCAGAAGGAGAAGCTGAGAGCGTCGTTGTTGTTGATTATTTGGTTCCTTCCCCTGTTTCCGCCATCTGATGGAACAACTTGAAAGGTTTGATCCTTTTTCAGCTTCTTAGTTATGCTGAGGGCTGTTGAAAACTGCTGGATCAAACTGTCAGTTACTATATATATTGCTTGAAAAAGCCTACAATAATTGTGTTGAGGATTTCAGCATGTTGGGTTGAACAATATTTTGGGGAGGGTTACTTCTCCATTTCGTGTATTAAATCTATTTGTTGAATTTGGCTGCAATGGCTTGCCTATCTATAACATTATGTTATGAATTTTGCTGCAATGGCTTGCCTGTCTATAACATTAGGTCTTGAATTTTTCTGCAATGACTTGTTTTTCTATTTATAATACAAGCTGTTATAAATATTTTATTTTATTAAATATTAATTCCTGGTGGTTGCCCATTGGCTGCTCTCATGGAAGAAAATTTTCAAGGTCGGAATTTAACAAATTTTTTTAGATTCTACTTATGTTAAGAAAGACAGAGATAGATCTCGGAAGACTTGGGCATATCGGATAAAAAATGATCTCAATTTATTAGAATTAAATAAAAATATTGCAGTAAATAGTATGCAATGGAGAAAAAGGATTCATGTAGCCGAGCCCACTTAGTGGGATTAAGGCATTTTTTGTTGTTGCTGTTGTTGGAAATAAACATATTTTCTGTACTCATTCTTCCAAAGTTTATAATCATTTTTGTTGGTCCAATTTTATACTCTTATAGTGGCAACATTATTTTTTCTTATTTTTGTTTTATCTGATTTGATACTCTTTTTTTTAATGATGCACATAGTTTTAAATAGAAATCTTGCACGAATAAAGATTAGTGTTGAACATAATTCTAATAAAGGAATGAGGATGGAAAATATTGTGCAAATGGATGTGAGAAGCTGTTAGGCTAAGGGAACTTCATTGATGTGATCATGTGAAGTTTTCGTTGGAGCAGTTGTAGTTAATACTCAAATTTTTTCTTAGATGGGGAAAAAGGAAGTTTATTGTGTTTAGTTTATGGGATCAATGAGACCAAAGGGCAGAAGCTATTGTGAGAAACCCACTTTGCCTTTCCAGGCCTAGGAGTGAGCATTGAAATCTTAAGGTAAAGTGTTCTCCGTGCTGCTTAATTAATTGTTATTTGTGATGGCAAGCCATTCAGTTCTCCATTGATTACACTTGAATACTAAGTTGGATATATTAGTTTTGAGCCATTTGAATTCATTTAATCACTTCGTTAAAATGAAACTATTTTTAATTTGAGTTGGTAGGATTTCATTACAAATTGAACTACAATAAGCATTATAGTGAATGAGTTATTTTTCATTTAACTTATAGACTATTCTTTGTTTTGTAAGTCACCAAACTTGTTTTTCTTTTCTTTTATCTTTTATCTTTTTTTTTTTCCATGTATGGCGTTGTTATTTCTCTATATTGCTTGTTGAGTGGTACCAGCATAAAATTCTGATAAGACTCTGCCACCAATGAAGGGATGTGAAACCTAATTCAATATCAAATGTTTTCCCACCCTCTTGCAAGTTGATGCCGCAGTATACTCAGTAATTTTGTCGAGCTTGCTTTTTGTGCAATTAATCACATCTATTTCATTTTTGAAGGAATTTAGTCATGGAAATGATAATTTGTAGTATTTCCAGTGTATTAAAGTAAGGATTGATTGACTGTTCATCTTGGATAGGTTTAGTTTCTCATAAATAAATCAAAAGGAGACAAATTAGGCTACAAAAAGGTGGGAGTAAACCCAATATCACTTTTTTCTATGCCTTAACCAATTTAGATTTTTATTTGTATAATATTAAATGTAATATGGATAATTTTATCCCTAATTTATGCTTTCCCTTTTCCTTTAATTGTAAGCCTCTTATAGGACATTTAATTTATTGTTATTTTTTATTTGATTGCTTCTCGAAATGATTACTTGCTCTTGTCTATCGACCCAAGTTGCATGCAAACCAACACAAATTGTGTATGTTGAGCTCTTCTTCCTTCTTTTTAATTTTTGTATGCAGACTTTCTTCTTATTAACATTGTCATTGTCAGGTCCTAACCTTCGAATGCTAAAATTGGGAGGGTTGATGACTATAACATGAATCTTTAAATCATTATGTCAATGCTAGGGCATTTGCTAGAACCGACCCGCTGTATGATCTGAATAAAGTGAAATGTGTGTAAGGGATATATTGTTAAATAAGCAAGGGATTTCCACATTATCTACCGATGCGAGTACAAAAGTTAGTTCAAGAAACTAATATTATGATATAAACATGGAATATAGGTACTCTCACATAAAAGTTAATGAAATTAGTAGATATTATGTTTCATAAGAAGATGAATATCTTATACATTCAAAAAACTAAGTGGGTTAGAGAGAAGACTAATTTATTTTAAACTTTGATATTAGGTAGAAGTCGCATTACAAATGATGTAGATATATTATAGATTACAGTGAAATATTATATTTTAAAAATTAATAGAATTGGAAATATATTATGACTCTAAAAATTCTTTCTGATATTATAATTATAACTACTGAATTTTGCTGCAATGGCTTGCCTATCTATTTTTAATACAAGCTGTTATAAAAATTTTATTTTATTAAATAATAATTCCTGTTTACCCATTGGGTGATCTCATGGAAGAAAATGTTTGAGGTTAGAAGCAAACAAATTTTTTGTAGTCATTCCTTACAAAGTTTATTGTTGGGCATATTTTATGGCCTTATAATGGCAACATCAAAATTTTTTTTTTCTTAATTTGGTTTTATCCGAGTTGATACTCTTTAATTTAATGACTGAAAGTATTGCAAAAATAAAGATTAGTGTTCAACCAAGGTTCTAATGAAAGAATGAGGATGGAAATATTGTGCAAATGGATGTCGAAAGTCGTTAGGCTAAGGGGAACTTCATGATGTGATTATGTGAAGTTTGAATTTGAGTAATGGTAGTTAATGACTCAATTTTTTTCTTTGATGGGGAAAAAGAAAGTTTATTGTGTTTGGTTTATGGGATCAATGAGATTAAAGGGAAGATGCTATTGTTAGAAACCTACTTTGCATTACCATGCCTATAAGGGAGCATTCAAATCTTAAGGTAAAATATTCTCTGTGCGGCTTAATTAATTTCTATTTGTGCTAGCAAGCCATTCAGTTCTCCATTGATTGCACTTGAATACTAAGTTGGATATATATTAGTTTTGAGCCATTTAAATCCATTTAATCACTTGGTTAAAATGAAACTATTTATAAGTTGAGTTGGTCGGATTTCATTACAAATTGGACTAGAAAAAGCTTTATAGCGACCAATTTATTTTTCCTTTAACTTTCAGGCTCTTCTTTGTTTTGTAAGTCACAAAACATATTTGGTTTATTTTATTTTATTTTCATGTATTGCCTATTTATTTCATTATATTGCATGTCGAGGGGTACCTCCATAAAAATTTTGATAAGACTGTGACACCAATGACACCAATGAAGGGATGTGAAAACTAATTCAATATCAAATGTTTCTCCACCCTCTTACAAGTTGATGCCACAATATACTGAATAATTTTGTCTTGCTTGCTTTTTGTGCAATTAATCTCATCAGTTTATTTTTTATGGGATTTAGTCATGGAAATGATAATTTTTAGTATTTCCATTGCATTAAAATAAGGATTGATTGACTTATTTTCTTAGATAGATTAAGTTTCTCTTAGATAAATCAATAGGAGTCAAATTAGACTACTAAAAAGTTGGAGCAAACCAAATTTTGAGTTTTTCAATGCCTCGTTAATTTAGCTTGAATATTGCATTATTTATTATATTTATAATAGATTCAATTTGATATGGATAATTTATCCTTAATTTATGGTTTCTTTTTTCCTTTAAATGTAGACCTCTTATATGTCTTTTAATTTATTGTTATTCATTATTTAATTGCTTCTCGAAATGATTAATTTCACTTCTCCTTCGACCCAAGTTGTATGCAAACCGGCACAAATTGTGAATGTTGAGTTCTTTTTTCTTTTCAATTTGTGTATATGTAGGGTTTATTCTTCTTAAAATTGCCATTATCTAGTCCCAAGCCTCCGATACAAAAAATGGAGAGTTGATGAATATGACTTTAATCTTTTAAATTATTGTGTAAATGCTAGGGTGTTTGTTAAGAACGATGTGTTGTGTGATCTGAATATTGAGAGTCATGTCTAAGGGCCGTTGTACTAGCACAAGTTTGTACAATTAAAGTAGAAAGAGTTTCTACAATATGTACGGAAGCAAATAAAAATTACTCCTTGAAATTAATATTATGATATGAACTTGGAATATAGATACTGAAAATAGTAGATAAAATGTTTCATAATAAGATAAATATCTTAATAAATCAAGAAATTAAATGGGTCGATGAGTCGTTACCCATTTGAAGTGTGAGAGACTCATTCTCTGCCTTGTGGCTTAGCGAGAACTTTGAAGCATCAGGGGCGATCCCATATGGACTAACCACCATTTGATAGCATATTCTCCAAGTTCATGATAATATAAGCAAAACTTTTTTTATCGAGAGTATTCTTGGGTATCCCCCAATATATAATTAACCAGAGGGATACATTCCTCTGAGAGACTCTTGACCCCAAAACCAAAAGTATTCTTTTTAGTTATTTGGTTACGGGTGACTCATGAATATTGTGTTTCAAGGTACTTCGATTCAATCATGTTTGGATGTGTGCTCTCGACCCATCACTCGAGGATTACCCATATACCAGTCTTCCGTTTATTTATTTTTATTTATTTATCTATTTGAGACTATTATATGATCCTCCAGACATCCCTAATATATCTAACAATTCGAGTACCACCTTCAAACCCCCGAGATTCAAATCTCTGTTCTGAGGGGTCTTACATCGTGAATGTCAACCAACAAGGTGTGGTACGCAATGCTGATGTGCCTGTCATAAAATATGATGTAATGATTTAGAAGTATTAATACGGGTGATACATTTTGAAGAAAAAAATACCATCAGAAGAGATTTAAATGGACATGTTGATAGAGTGGTATAAAATTTTAGAAGTATTCATGGTGATTATTATTTTGGAGATGACTAAGAATAAAATAGTCATAATGGATTTTATTTTAGCTTATGATTTTGTTATTGCTAATACTTTATTTTGAAAAAAGAGATGAACATATTATCATTTAAAAGAAGAAATCTAATAAAATATAAAGTGCATATTTTCTTATGAGAAAAAAAAGGACCATCGTGCCAAGTGAAAGTTGAACTAGTTAACAACGATTATTTGTT